ATTTGATCAACATGGGGGAGGCAGAGCAGTTTTGAATATATTTTCTTTCATGGTGAGCTTCAAAGCTTAATCCATTGCATAAAGATTAAATACATTCATTTTTAGCACATTATAGAATCTCATGTGTTATTTTAAAATGATTAATTGAATGCCATCTAGCTCAGAAGCAACTTTTTCAAACTACCCTGTACATACCTGTGGATATGTAGATATAGATAAAACTTATCTTTGAGGACAAAACTTGTCAGATCACCTATTGCCAAAATCAGAGAGAAGTTCATATTAACAGAAAGATGTTGAAGATAAACAAAATAAAATTATTCAAATGTTTACTCATTTTTCATCACTATATAAGCAATCTGACTACGTGAAAAAATTTTAAAAAGGTACTTTGTTCATCTACACTATTATTTTTTTTACTTTTATGGCTCAAGTGCTCTGCTTGTACACACTTGAAAGCTGGACAGTGAAAAACTTCTGTTGGATTTATTTTCCTCCTTTTTTGATGATAACTTACACATCATCCCAATATTTTCCAACAGAATACCATGCTGGAGGAAGTTCATTATGTAGAAAAAAAAAAAAAAAAAAAAGACAAAAAGACAGAAAACAAAAACAACAACAACAAAAACTATTCAATAATCAGAAAGCTTCTCACAATACTAAATTAAAGTAAAACAGTTTCCTCAGAGCAGTATCGCTAAGATCTTTAACATCTGAATCTAACATCCATGACAGTGTCTGATCAAATAAGTATCTGTGGAATAAATTAACGATCCATCTTGTAAAACCTCTGGAGCAGCTTCTAATTTTCAATTTTTTGTTTTCTTTCTTGCTCATCGATTTCTATTTAGCTCTATAAAAGGTGTTGAAGAAATGAATAATATCTAATGCATGTATTTACGAAACACATTTGTAATCCAGTGAGCTAGGTCTCCTGGCTCTACTTAGAAATAAACTTTGTAATACAATTATTACTGTTATTATTAGTAGTAGTTTTAATTATAATGACCACAATAATAATATTAACCGATTATACTGTTACCAAGGCAATTGTTCTAGAAACTCTGCATCCCAACTCAATTGTATACATTCTATAGATAAAGAACTGAGAAACAGACTCATTTGGCTAGTGATTGAAATTTTAAAAACTTCTCCTTGAAAAACTAAAAAATGAATTACACAAAATATTTGATAGCAAATATTTGATAGCTGTTTGATAGCATTTAAACATTGGTTTAGTTAGAGTCAATATAGAAAAAGGAATGCTTTGATGTAAAAATTAGGTAAATAATTTTGTCTTTCTAAAAGAGAATAATAAACATATGGAAAACATGAGAAAAGGCACATTAAACAAAAGGTCTATTAAGTTTAAAAAAAAGCACATGACATTTCTTCAGGATTAAGCTAAATATTTTCTATTCTGCTCTGTCTGTATGCTGCCAATTAATTATTTGTGATATTAGCTCTCATTTATTTTATTTATTTCATTCTGTTTTTACCCAATTATGAACACTCAAATCATTTGGGTGCAGAAAAATAGAGACAGTATTGTTTAGTATTAAGTAGATTAAACAATTTGTTCACCGATGCTTTACTTAGGTACTTGGGAATATATAGGAAGGTGAAGTTCAATTTTTACATAAAAAAGTTAAGACAAGTATATTTGGTCATGTACATGTCTTCTTATTTCTATTTGGTCACCTCATTTTCTTGCTCTTTTGGTTTCGAGTGGTTATAAATATCCCACACTTCAATCTATAGTCTCAGAATTATTTCTCTATATTAATTTAATAATTATGAATTCTTGACTTCCATATAACCATCTACAGTCCTATAAGTCATATGTATATGTCATTAAAAAATGCAATAAAACCTGGAAACCCAAGAAAAATCTCTCCACTACCCTCTACTACAAGATTAGTATGTGCTTTCCAGACTGAGGGGGGATATTCTATTTATAACTCTCATTTGTTTCTTACCATGTGGCCAAGTTTCCACTTATTACATGTCTGCTTGCCTTAATATTAACTTCCAGTTTGGAGCACTGTAAATTGTTTCTCAACCCCTAAATTAAAGCAAATGATATCCACTCCACCTCTACCACCAATTTTACTAGAAGCCACTTCAAAGATTCCATTTTTTTAAAAAAATGAAGTATGGCCACTGCTTCCTGAAGCCAAGGTTAGCCTTGTTCATAATGAAGTGAAGCTTTCTCTGATTTTCCTTCTATTTAAACACTGACATTTTTTTTCCAAGACATTTTATTCTCCTCCATGGTTGTTGTTGCTCTTATTAAGGAATGGGAGATGGGAAAAGAAAAATGGCTCTGGTGGACTCTGCCTTAGTCAGTGTTCTTTGTGACCAGTACACGTGTGTTTGCAGTGACATTCCAGGATCACATTTTAGCTATCTTTATCAACATAAAAGTTCTAAAACATTTAAAGATTATCTCAGCTACACACAATTTCTAAGAGAGCAGCAGAGTATATTTCTTATGTTGTCACTGGCTTATTAAAATAAAAGCGAATGCAGAAAAGACAAAAAAAACAAAACAAAACACAAAACACCTCTATAACTTCAACTTTTAGCTTTTTCATCAAATCTCTACTTTTTGACCATTTTCTCAGATGTTCATTGATATTAGCCTCTGCAGCTTAATATCATGGTGCTTATTACACAAGCTACTGTCACTTTCTTCACCTATTTACACTGTGACTATAACTTAAGCTCCAAGGCAATGTATCACCAAACTGAAAGTACACTATTGCTTCCCCGGTCCCCAAGGCTCCATTCTGCACTCCTGCCCTGCATATATACATAGATCTTGGGCACATAGTTACAGATCAGAAAACAGTTACAGATACTTATAGTCACACTTTCTACTTACTACCACAGGAGCTGCTGAAGAGTAGAATATCCACCCCTCCTACACACCCACACAAAACCAGTTTGACTTAAATTGAAGATCTGTTCCTTCAGAAAAGGTTCTTGGGGCCTGAAGGTGCTTGCTATTCCACAGCCTTTTTAAAGCAATTTATCTGCTTGGGTCTTTCAAATACTGCAGGGCTTGGGAATTTGCACCCTAAATCTACATGAGGGTTGACAAAAGGTTATGATAAAGGGAGACTCTATTTCTCCTCCACTCAGAGTCAAGGCCATGAGAATGAATGTGCTTGCCTCCTCCCTTTGTGAGGTAGAATTTTTGCTGGTTCGCCCTTTGAACGAGGGCGTGGTATTTTGGGGGATCTCAGCCACACACAGGTTCTCATCCATGCTCCCCATCATGCTTGGGACCTAGGTTGTTTTGTGCCTCTCTGTATGGCTGTTACAGGATGGGCAAATGCCCCAGGATTTTAGTCCTCACCTCTTTGAAAATAGAAATTAGGCACTTCATTTAATTCAGCGATGTTATAATGGTGTTTCTCTTCTGAATATAATGGTCTTCTTTCAGTTCCTAGCACAACATCCCTGCCTTCCCAAGACCTTTTCCCAAACGATGTTTCATCTGCTTCACTTACTCTTTCCGTACACATTTCATGTACACGCGCGCATAAGCACACCTTATTGGGGTTAGTTCCTTCTCATTCTCTAGATCCGATTTTAAACATTACTTGCTCAGATTAGTCTTCCTTAACTGTTAAAATCACAAGGTGGTGTCAGCAGTATTTTATACTTGGGCATTTTCAAGAGGCAGACTGTCCTGAAGCAGAAGTTTAGGTTCCCAGATTCTGCACTGCAGCCCTTATCCCAAAGAACTAAACTATCATTTATTATATAATAAATGTACTACAGGAATAAAATATTACTCGGTGTTACCACATAGAGGATATAGAGAAATGGGTGGGGAAGACAGGAGGAGAAAGAGACAGACAGACAGACAGACATGTACCTCTTCGGGAACTTAGGAACTTGCTAGTCAGGAACACTTAATAAGTTACAGGTGCAGCTCAACAGAGACTCCTGAAGTGATGCCTAGTTCTCTATTGTTTTAGAAACTAAAATACTTAGGGAAGGAAAATTGTAAAAATTCCCACGCCTAAACGTCCATGGGATGTGATTTTCTCTTCTAATTCAATACAATGTTCCTTGCCTGCTTCCAGAGGATAAATTAGGATTTGTGCACATATGTTACAAAGTCAAAATAAGCCCTTGTGGGGCTTGATCTTCACATTGTTTTTTAACTTCTGCCAAGCAACTGTTCACTGTAGGACTTCCACATTAAGCTTCACATACTGATTGTCAGCTTCAACGAAAAGCTTTCATACAGTCTTATCTTTAGTAATCAAAATCTTGAGTTCTAAGAACATCAAATGAATCTATTTTTGCTGAGTTTAAGAAACTAACACGAATTTTAAAACAACACTTAAAATGCTATTTATATCTATTCTTTTAAAAACATTTAAAATAGCTAAGTTGTCATTAAGATTTAATAAGCATTTCTTAATTCTCCAACTTTCCAGATATCTTCATTTGATCATCTAATAGACTATATTTGATAAAAACCAGGGGTTCTTTCAAAAGTATGCTCCCCAACATGAGGAAAACATCTTAAAGTATTCTCGATTTCACCACCATATCTTCTCATAATAGAGCATCAAATTATCAAAAAGAGAATTCCATGATTACAACAGTATACTCTACTATCTTTGTGCTTTGCACTCCTCCAAATGCCATCATACTGCAGCCCATTAAATTTTATGGCTAGAAGCACATGGGAGTTGAAAAAAGCAGACAGGGCTTTAAGAGGATTAATACTTTAAAAAGAACAAATTCAAGAATTTTATCAAGTCCAATTAACAGTAATAAGAGACATCACCGCCCTAAAAAAAACATGTACAATTAACAAATATCTTCTGAGCGCTTGTCATGTAGCAAGCACAGTTTACACACAATATCCATAGCAATTTAAAACTGCTATCTCACTAAAGCTCTTAATATGTTTATATTACAAATGTGGATACACACATTTACACATACACACAAATAATACAAAATACCTGGAGGGCCGTAAGGATATTGGCTAAGGCCTGTCCGTATGTGTCATGACAGTGAACGGCAAGAGCACTGGGTGGGATTTCCTTTATGACACTTTCCAACATTCTCTTCATGCTTCCTGGAGTTCCCACACCAGTTGTGTCTCCCAGAGAGATCTCATAACAGCCCATGCCATACAGTCTCTTAGACACCTGAAGAGTTGGGACACGTGAAGAGTTAGTAAAACCATGGAAATGAACAGACTCGATCCCTATTGTTCCTAGCAAACATCATCTAGAGGTAAAAATCACAACTAAAATTGTTACATTTCCATGGAAAACATTTTAGTTTCCTGGTCTTTCTCCTTGCTCATTAAATCTTAAGTGTTTTATAAAACTTTGAATGACATTACTATAATTATCTTTTTTCTAATACTCAAGTTTGCATTAGAGTCATAACTGTCTAGCTACATGTTCAATTAGGATTTATAAACTATAATTTCAACTAAGGGAGGTTTGCTTTTCTCAACTCTTTAATCAAACAGAAGCATGACAAATTTACCTTGGAAGTAGCATTTCTCAACGCATTAGAATAGGCATCAAGAGACATCTATACCAATTTCAGCTCTGTCGCTCAGTACCTACGTAATTGGTAGAATCACTAAATAGTTCTGGCTTAATTTTGGGGGGTCATAAATGAATGTACTTGTGAATGTGACCTTGCATTTCTTGACTCAAGTGCTAAGTAGTGATCTTATAAAGAGGTAAATTGCAAGGTTCCTTCAAGCTGAATAACTAATGTTACTTTCAAAGAGGAATAAGATTTTGCATGAAAGCAGTGTGGTATTGTGACAAAGACATGCGTTCTGGATCAAACAGGCCTGGGTCTAAATCTCAGGTGCCACCCATGCTAGGAATGTGATACTAGGCAGAAGGTTAACCTTTTAAAACTTCAGTCTCTATTCTGTAAAATACAGACAATGAAACACCCTTATTTAGCATACTTTCTAAATCTTATTATTTAATTTTTTAAAGAGTTACAATAATAATGATGTTAATAATGGCATGGCTGGCTACAAAAATGAAATGAGAACACCTAGAAATCACTTTGTACAAAATACGGCACATGACCACTCATTAACTCATTTATTGTGTATTTCCTCAGTGCCATTTTATGCCAGGTACTGTGATAGGTGCTAGAATATAATGGGGACACAAATCTTGAGATGGCTCATGCTGTTATAGAACCTGGAGTCAAATGAAGATAGACCTTAATCAATCCCATTTGGGAATGTATAAATACAGCTAAAATATGAATTCTGAAACAAAGAAACAAGATTCTAAGAGCATGTGGCAAAGGAAACTGACCTAGATCTGTCAAACAGGAAGGGCCCAAGTGACAGCTTAAGGTAAAGTGAACATTAACTTGTTGAGAAGGCTGAGAAGAAAGGTATAAGAATAATATTCCAGGTAGAATATCAAAAGCAGAGGCTAGTGTATTCCAGGCAGCCAAAATATAAAATGCAAAGAGCACTTCAGGCAGAGAAACAGTCAAATGCAAAGGATAGTGTGATGAGGAAGCCAAAACCAAGAGGAAATGAAGCTACATAAAGGAGAGGTAGGCATGGGGCAGATATATAGGGCATGGCAAACCAACTAAGTTTAAGAGTTTGGTTGAGGATTCTATCATAAGAGTAATAAAAGGCCATGATAGAATCTGGGGTAGTGATGTTTTTCAGAAAGGCAATAACAATATGAAAACAGGTTGGAGGGTACTCAGAAGGGCTAACTAGTCCAGGTAGGAGGCAGTTATCAGATAGAAACTTGGATGAAATATCATAATGTTCATTCTTCTTTACTGCCTATTAAATGCTGGAATTTCTTAATGCTCAAATAGAGAAGCATGAGGTTACAAAGGAGAAACCTAACAGGTTGGAAGAAAATCACAAGTGTGGTGTCAAGGGAATACAAGAGACATACAAGTGTCAGGAAGGATAGAAGAGTCACTAATCCCAAATTCTGCTAAGGAGTCAAGATTAGGATTGAATACAATTTTGCACTTCTTGACTCAAGTGCTAAGTAGTTACCCTAAAAAGAGGGATTTCAGTGGAGTGAATAGTCTAGAATTCAATCTGGAGTATGATGAAGAGTTTTTGGCACATGAGAAAATGGACATCACTACTGTAGGCAGCCCTCTGAAGTTTAGATGTAGAAGGCTAGAGATATTCGATAACTATAAGAAGATGCTGAATTCTGAAAGTTTTCAGATGGAAGAGGCTTGAATATGTTCCAGTGTCAACAGGAAGAATTCCATCACCACTGAATAAGCAGGTGAGTAAATGAGGAGAAAGACTAGAGACTTGAATGAACAGAGTGAACACAATTTGCAAGAGAGTCATTGCAGAGAGTAAGAGAGTGGGTTGGCTACAAAATATATAAAATAGCCCATTCTATTGGACCTACAGAAGGCCCATCAAAGGCTGCTGGTCACAAATTTCTAATGTTTCCAATCTGCCTGTTACATGATTCTTTTCAGCATCTCCTCGGGCATGCTAGTGCAGGAATGGACAGCCTGAGTGTGTGTGTAATCCTTCCAAAGATGGCAGGAGGCAAAGGCAGAAGAGCGAGAGATTTGGCATATAGGCTGAGTTGGATTCAGGTTTTGTGGAGCCTAACGTTATACCATTTTTGAAGTGTTCTTTAAGAAAAAAAATATATATTTGTGAATATAAATTAATAACAGTCTTATATAACATCTGAACTTCATTTTTTTTATATATATATAGCATTTCTGCCTCTTTGTGCAAACGTCTTGCTTAAATAATGGACCATGAGATAGATATCTCTCATTGGAAAAATTTGCAGTAAATTTCAATAGTGCTAATGAATGCTCAAAAATAGAATTGGCTTTAGACAAACTGATAGTTTAGCCAGCTAAATTTTAATTTTTCTAACAATGCCATCTTCACTGCTTCCTACCATCCACATTACTAAATTTATGAAAATTAACAACCTTAACAACAGGTGCACATTAATATATTTCATATACAAATGAGTTTCAGAGATAATCTAATAAGATAGTCTAATGTAACCTCAAACTAAGCATTTTGTATTCATTGGTATTAATTAATAAACAGAAAGAGTAAGTAAAATGAACTTCAATAAGCAGGTCCTTAATGATTATATTCTAGTGCTGTAAAATTGCTCTTTGATAGCAACTCGAATCTCAGCAGTAAGACCTATAGGATCTCCAAGGAACAAAATACTGAAGCACTATATACTATGACACAAGTGCCAAAGAACTCAGGGGAAAATAAAGAAATGATACCTGAACAACCAAGGCAAAGTTAACAAATATGTGCATGAACTGCCCTGACATTTTGGTAGAAGTAGAAAGATCACTCACTATGTTCTACCCACAGAAAAACAAAACAAATATTTTTATTCCCTCCACCTTTGAGCTCCCAAATGTTAAAACTCGGGTGTTATTTAACTTTAAAACAGTTATAGCCAATATATAGGTCTTCAGTGTTACAATAAAACTATCAGCTAAGTAATCATATGTGTCCCACTCCGTGGTCCTCCTTAACCTTTGTTATGCAGGTGCAATAAATAGTAAGGAAAACAGTCCACTTTTAAAAATAATATGCATCATTTTACCGTGAAACAGAAAAACAGGCATATCCTACCTCTGTCACTTTTTGTGGTGTGATGCTTCCTTCATATGGACAGCCCAGGACACAAGACACGTACCTAAATTTAAAATATAGGACTATATAAACATGAGTGCATAATTTGCTTTCTAATTTCCATTTTATAAAAACAAATAGCCAAAAAGTCATCGAGAAAATTTATATCAGACTATTCTTCTTCTTTATTATTTAATTCTCAGACCAAACAAAAACAATTTTGGAACATTTTTAATTTAAGTCACATTTTCCTCTTTCTAATAATTATAATTTGATATATGTTATTTGATGGCAGATAGGAATAAAATAACAGGTATTTATCTTGTGGGGTCTTTATACTAGAGCAGGATATGATATTTGAAGAAGAAAATATCAGTGAAATATATAGTTTGACTTAAATAAGTACATACATTCGACTGTTGACTATCCAGGTCTTTGGAGCCATACAGAAGAGAGCATGTAGATGACTAATTGAACTTTTCTCTTCACTCCCATCTGGATGTTTTGGCCTCATGTAGACAGTCATTAATCACCCCAAATCTCCTAGAACTGGCCACAACCTCAAAATTCATCTTGTTTATCTCGCGGGTATATCTAAATCATTCCAAACAGAAGAGTGTCTAGTCTGTGTTTAAAAGGCTCCAAATAAAGATATTTCATAAGTTTCTCCAACAATTGAATATAAAAAGTCAAGCCTCTCCTACAAGGACAATGATACATTTCCATCTTAAAGTATTAAGCTTTAGGAAAAAAGTCCGTTTTAGCTATTGTCAGCTCAACACCAATCCCATTTTATTAAACTTTCCTCAGAGACTTTGCAACACTTGTATTAAAATAATGCATCACGTATCTGATTGTAAAGAATGAAGCAACTCACATGAGAGAAAGGAGTGGTGGGAAATGAGGCTGGAAATCTAGTTCTTTGGGCCAGAATATGAAAGGCTTTAGATAGCAAGGCCGTTGAATGCCATGCCAAGGAATCTGAACTTTGAGATCACTCAAAATTATTAGAAAAGGTAGTGACAAGATCAGATTTGTTTTCTAGAAATGTAACTCTGAGAACTCTGGAAGTGGTTGCCAGAGGAAAAGTGGAGGCAAAAGCATGATAGAAGGCAATACCACATTTCCTTGACTCTAAGATGCTGTCCATTGGAAGATATACTGTGAATTTCATAACAGGTTTTGGAATACATTAAATGATTCACTACATATCCATTGCTTCTAAAGATATAACCTAATTTCAAAATTATTAAAATGTCAATAAAATTGTATTTCGGAATTAAAATAAATAAGCAGTTCCATAAGCCAGGCACAAAGTTATGAGAACAGAGGAGAAAAGAAGGCAAATTTAAGTAAAATTTGAAAGTAATGCTGGGCAGGAAACCCCTCTGTGCTCTTCTAATTACTATAAGCCTATTGTAAGAATAATCTGAATAAATTTCATCAACACGTGAAAAGAAAATGGTCTTATATAAACAACCCTGGAGAAGGTGGCTAAGAATGAAAAATAAATATTTTCAATTTAGATATAATGATTATAGAGAATGTATTGAAAATATAAGTACATTGGTTCTGAACCCAAAATATCTAGAAGTGAGTAAATAGAAAATCCAAGCCATCCATTAACATGCCATCCTTCTAAATGTGAAAGACAAAACAAGCAAAAAAATAATTGCAAAACAACATATTAAAAAAAAACCCTTTCCTGAATTCTTAACATATTACCTGACCACAGCTTACCCCTTTATACCATAACCCTGAGTCTCTTCGTGTGCATTTTCATTCACTCAAGTTTTCCCACTGGTCCATCCCAGGCCTATGGTTTGCCAAGTCTTCACACTCCATTGTATTTCATCTTCATATGCTCTCCATCCTATCCTTGTAAGCTGAGTAGTCATTTTTTTAACCTATTCACATGTGGTTACTTTCTCCAAAGTGAATGTGATGGTTCTCAAATATGTTCATTAACTGTGCTTAAACACTGTAAAACAGAAGTTAGCAAACTAAGGCCCAAAAGCCAAATCCTGCTCATCACTCTGCAAAGAAAATTTTATTGGAACAAACCCATGCTCATCTGGTTACCTATTATCCATGGCTACTTTTGTACTATAACAGCAGAGTTGAGTAGTTGAAACAGAGACCACCTAACCCACAAAACAAAATATTACTGTCTGGCCTTTACAGAAAAAGCTTGCCAACAACTAATAAAAAGTGAGGCATTTTCATGTATGTGCAAAGGCCTCCATCATGATGAAAAGATGCTACCTTATCTGCTTTGACTAGTGGCTAACATCAGTTTCTAGACTTCTGCTCTTCTCTATTGCAGTGGTTCTTAACCTCAGCTGTACAGAATTACCTGGGGAGCTTAAAAAACAAAACAAAACACAACCCTGGTGGTTATGATACACTCTATAGTAATTAAATCAAAAACTCAGAAAATGGAATCTAACCACTAATATTTTAAAATAATTTTTAAATTTCCACTATTCTGCCAAAATTGAAAAACACTCAACTACTAACAATACAGCTGCACCTGGATTGACTGATTCCCTTGTGTAAAAAGTGATATTACACAGACTTGAGAGTATCTAATCTCAGGAATCTCTTCACTACTACGCCATAGCACTTTTATCCATCTTTGATTGGTTGGTGGTTTAATTTAAAATCTTTACTGTGAGTGTCTTTCCACGGTGATTTTAGTTTCTAAAGGAGTTTCATGAGTCTTGAGTTATTTAAATGCCCCTATAAAGCAGACCTGACTCCCTTGCCCTTGCCCTGCAGACTTTATCAGTTACTGGACACATTTCTATCCTGATTTCTCAGTGGGGTTTCTACAATACTCATGTGTCATAAATCTACAACCAATAACTACACAGTATAGGTTTCAGTGACTTTGCATTGGTAAGGAGGTGCTTTCAGGTTCTAAGAAAACTCCATATTTACAAATCCATAGTTTAGTGGAATATCTATCTTTTCCCAGATAGACATTAAAATCCTATTTCCAAGCCCCTAGGGACTATGTGTGGGATACATACCCCCACATATTAGTGGCATCAATCTGCATGCTTAGCATATTTTCTTTGATGAAATCTGGGGACTGTCTTTTATTTTCTGAGCTTGGCTATATGTTTTAAAAGTCATGTTTGTAATGGAAACAGGAAATGGAGTCTCTGCATCAGCTCAGTCTTTCTTTCTCTAGCCATTATGCAGGTAAATCCAGGAACAACTCCAAATCTCCTTGTGAACATGACAAATCGATTGCTTGAAACATTTGGATGACATATTAAATTCAATATGTCCAAAATGATGCTCATCCCTGTTTCTCCTGCATTTGTCACTTTTTAAAAATGAGGTAGTCATTTTCAGAGTCTTTTCTGCTAAATCACTTGAAGGTCACCTTGGGAACATATTCATAGATTGGCTAATTCTTCCCCTCTAGCCTCTACAGCTTGAATCTCTGCCAGTGACAGCCCACATGCACAGAATAGTCCATGAGTACCCTCTCCAGGAAAGGCACAGATGTCTCCTACATGCTCTCCTTGTCTCTAGTTTCATGCCACTCCTTTTTACTCCAATATCTATTGCCAAAATAATATTCCTAGAGAATAACTCTAACTACATAATTGTCCATTTTGAAGATCTTTAGTGACTTGCCATTGTCTACTAAATAACCTTGCTATTCATGTTCAGCAATTTGTGAAACTTCAATTTAACTTTCTACTACTCTTCTATAATCAACCTCAAAAACTCCTATTCTGGTAAAATAAACGTCTTCCTGTTACCCAAATATTTCTTGAGATTTCTCTTCACTATGCCTTTGTTCTTTGTATATTTCCTCCTCTGACTAAAAAGGCCATTATTTCTTATTATGTTCCATATATTTATTTATCTTTAATGACTTCAATTTATTAACACTTTCTCCAAGAACTTTCTCTAAATAACTTCAGAGAAAGTTAATATAGTCTTACTTTAAACTTTATTTTTTTACACTTTTAATTTATTTTTTTAAGTGTAGTTGGTATATAATCTTATATTGGTTTTATTAGTTTCATGTGCACAATAGTTTTTTTTGACATTTTTATACCTAACAATGTGATCACCCCACTAATTCTAATTATCTGTCACCGTGTAAACTTATCACAATGTTTTTGACTATATTCCCCTTCCCTTTTTCATTTCATCCCCTCTCTTCTGGTAACCATCTCTTTGGTCTCTTTTTCTATGAGTCTGTTTCTGTTTTGTTTGTTTTGTTGTTTCGGAGTCCACATATAGTGAAAACATATGGTATTTGCATTTCTCTACCTGACTTAACTTAGCAATAACTACCTCTAGATCCATCCATGTTGTTGCAAATAGCAAGATTTCATTCTTTTTTTATTTCTGGATGATATTCCATTGTGTGTGTGTGTGTGTATGTGTGTGTGTGTGTGTGCGTGCACGCACATCTCCTTTATCCATTCATCTATCGATGAACAGCTGATGAACAGCTAGGGTGCTTCCATATCTTGGTTATTGCAAATAATGCTGCAATGAACGTAAGGGAGCATATATCTTTTCAAATTAGTGTTTTTGTTTTCTTTGGATGAATACTTGTTTGTATAGCATATCTATTTTTAGTTTAGTTTTTTTTTTTTTTGAGGAATTTCCATACTGTTTTCCATAGGGGCTGCTGCACCAGTTTGCAGTCCCACCAACAGCGTACAAGGGTCCTCTTTACTCAACATCCTCACCAACACATGTTATTTGTTGACTACTTGATAATAGCCTTTCTGACTGGTGTGAAGTAGTAACTTGTGGTTTTGATTTGCATTTCCCTGATGATTAATGATGTTGAGCATCTTTTCATGTCTGTTGGCCATCTGTATGTCTTCTTTAGAGAAATTTTTTCACGTCCTCTGCCTCCTTTACAAGCAAATTGTTTATTTTTTTGTTAGTGAGATGATGTGTTTCTTATATATCTTGGATATCAACCCCTTATTGGAGACATCATTTGTGAATATATTCTCCCATTCAGTAGGCTTTTTGTTTTGTTGAAGGTTTCCTTTGCTGTGCAGAAGCTTTTCA